TACCCTTTGGTTAATTTCCTTCGCGTGATAAATAAAACTGCTACGTAAACGAGGAACAGGTCGAGACGAGCGAGGCGTTCGCGAAATTCTTTACGAATTTCTAAGACATCTCGGGAAAACATCAATCTTCCCAATAGTTGTGTTATGCCGGTGAATCTCAAGAATCGTCGAATCCGTAAAATTTATTCAAGACACGACCGCGAGACAACCGCTCCTAAAGGCTATAAACGGGACGAGACAAACCTGGTGAAAACCTGTTGTCTTTTCCTTTCCATATATTTTCCCTGTCTCGACTGCAAAAGGTCGAAGCCTCGTCGCCGTCGAAGGAAATCGGATGACCGCGCCCCGGAAACGGAGATACGTATTTCCATAGCACGGAGGCATCGTGGAAAGCAGTAATGAATACGAGACTCTGGATATCCGTGGAATCCCTCCCGTGATCGTTCGTCGGCGCGAATTCCACACGTATGCGCGCTTCGAAAAAAGATATACGACCCTTTTTCTAACGAGCAGAAGGCTGTCCTTCGAGCAAACCCGACGCTAGTTATCGAGCTCGGGATCGAATTTGAATAAGTATCCAGTGAGACGCCGCGAGATGGGAAGTACTTCTACGTCTGCAACAGGCTGTTGCATTTTTCTGGAACCTCCCTGTCGTTCACCTTGCTCGCAGTCGTCAGCCCGACTTTTTACCACCGTCGCGCGTCGCAGTTGATCGCGTTTATTGTTCGCCCATACGTTCTAACTGCCGCTTACATCGTATTAAATCGCCGCGGTGATTCCGTCCGCGACATGTAATAAACACGAGCCCCGGGGATTTAGTTAGTGGAACATTCTGCTCGTCGGGGATTTAAACGTGGGTGGTCCTCCGAGCTTTAAATAGTCCTGCCAAAACATAATTCATATTGAGCGTTCGCTTTATATGTACGTATAGTCACGACGACGCATCTTGACAGACCGGAACTGAACGAGACTGACGTGGCTGGTAATTGCCGTACGGGCTGATAAGAATGAGCAATTAAGATCGTTGGGCAAAAAGGAAACTCTTATCAGGACCGCGTATCCCCTGCGCTGTTCTGGTTCCATAACATTTGTCACGGTCGGCGGTATCCTTCGTGGGGGCGATATGCAAAACGGTAACCCACATTCATGATTTGATGTGTAAATATTTATTGGCGGAGGGCCCCATTTCGCGGAGCTAACGAACGGTTTGCTATGTACGTGATAAATAGTTCGTTTATGCCATCGACGAGCTGCGAACGAGCCGACCAGAACGAAAGTACCATCGAGCCACGGATTCATAATGTTCTAACATTATTTCTGATTATTTGCCAGTATGTATAATATCGAATTTTAATAGTGTGAATTTTGAACGAGGAATCAACGAGGTCTTTCAAACTAGACGATCTGTGTCTACAATATTAGCCACGTTACTGCGTGGCACGCTTTCGTTCGTGGGGTACTTTGTTTTAACGGTGAAGGTAGACCCTGTCGGTCGTGAGTGCACACTGACGTCAGGACTGCTCGAATTCTAGTATGAACGCGAATGCAAATGCAATAAGCATCGAGTTTGATGTTTGCGTGTTATTTTCGGGACGGACGCGGTCAGCATTTCTATGGACTTATTTAAGAGGAACGAGCGTATTTGTCTGCTAACCGAATCGAGTATCTGTTCTTCCGTTTAATTGAGAAAATGGATTTCGATCATCCTCCGATACGTATGTTCCTCAGTGACGTAAATGCTGTAGTTAGATGATAAACAGTAATATATTTTTCTGTTTTCGATAGTAAATAGTGAGACGTCTTTCAATTCTTGATTCTAAAATTATTTGTTTTTGGAGAATCACAGTTTAGAAAAGAAACGCAATTCTTTTTAATGCGAACATGTTGTATTCGCTGTTAATCATTTATATAGGCCAAACATTTGTGAGGATGTCGATGAAAATTTTGTAATTTAGAAGATGCGAGGACAACATTTTCGTTCCAATTATTACGTTCAACTTTTCGACTTATCGTGACGATATTTGACATAAATTATCGAACACGACATACTAGCGAAGATTCGTTTTGTAGCGAGAATGGACTGGAATGACTTTTGATTAGCTACGATAATTTATGGCGACAGGTAATCTCCCAGGAACGATTCTTACAGCGACACGATGCCCCGAACTTATACTCGTTCGTTTTACAAGCTCGTCAAGTCCGCCATTTAAAGTTTCATTTCGCGATCGTTAAAGAAGCGGAATAAAAGCGACTCCGATTTTACAATTGAACGATCGCAACCTACTTTCGATCAAGCCTGTGTATGTTACCATTTAGAAGTCAGTTAGACAATCGTGAAATACGCGAAGCAAATTGAAACGATATTTAAATGAATATACATTTTTTTCCTATTTTTTGACTGTTGTAAATGTTGGATTTAAAAGCTTAAAAAAATGAACATTTCTGTGTCAGAAGTTATTTGAATATTAATTTTAATATTCTCATGGATACTTCTCGCATTAAGTCATAGATATATTTTTAGTTGCAGGAGTCATGTATTGTTCTCAAAATAAATTGTTAATTGGAATTTAAAGTTTAAAAGCATTCCAAATTCTAAGACTTGTGAACCGCGATCGACACAATTTTACACGCGAACTACACACCGTTGATCCTGTCTCATCGTCAAAGAATTTCGAAGTAACACCTTTCGGTTCGTTCTCCCTTCGTCGCTCGTGATTTAACACCGGCGCTTTGTTTCCAAGATCGTAATAAATTTCTCGGTCGCGTTTTTTTTCCCTTCTCATTCGTTGTCATCTAACGTTGGTTTAATCCTTCGGGGACGGGAAGCAATAAATTTTGAAGATCCTCGGAGAAAGTCACCGTTCAAGGTTGTCTGTCCTTTTCGAAAATCCTACGAACTGATCCTTGCAGCGTTCCTGCATTCAGACTCTTTTATTCGCGGCTTCGTCGTTTTGTCCCTGCACTTCCATAAACGTGAACCGAAGTCGAGAATCACGGTTTTGTGATTTTCCATTTATTTATAAATGTTCGCGGATTATCAATAAAATATCTTTTCGTATAAATGCATCTTCCAAATTAATGCTAGTCCTGTTGTTCTCAGTTTCACAACGAAAATGATCAAACTATTTCAATTTTTTAATACTCCAGGGAACCTGAAATTGAAATTCGCTCTCTTCATCTAATAATAATGGAACGTTGTAAGAGTACGAAACAAGGAAGTATAGACAGCTTCCATAAAAATAGAAAGAAGGAGAGGCTTTTGTGCGGTACTACATAGATTCTTAGTTCCTGATTAATGGAATTTATCGATCGAGTCATTTAGCAAGCGATACTCTTTCATTGTTCATTAAGATCGATGGCCGTGAGGAGTTGTAGAATAGCCGGCTCATATAATGAAATCTCGTTCGTAGAATTGAAATTTAATCGATAGCTTTAATCTCATTATCAATGAACGTTGTTTTACGTTCGCCCGCTTTGTTCCCTGCCAAGCTTCATTGTCTCTGTTCTCACGTATTTACGATTTACATAATTACAATCCCTCCACTAGCTCGCTCCTCTTCTCGTTTATCTTTTCTTCTCTCGATGCGAACCGTTCGCATAATTACAAAAGTCGAAATACGCGCGACTTTAACACACCGGGGATAATGGGATTCAATGTCCTACGAATGGTACCGCCACCGCTGGAAACTTTTATCTTGGACACCGTTGTCAGTTTCATGGAGATGGTTGAAAGCCGGGAGGTAAACGAATAGGCGTTTACGCTTGTTTCTTGGCACATTTCCATCGCACACCGCGAAACATCACAGAAGGGATGGTAGCTGTCTGGGTGGCCTCTAATGAACTCGTTCCTTTGGATACTCGAATACGTGACCACATTTGCATATATATCGCACATATCTTTGTACCGAAAATTCTATCCACACACAGACACACATATTTTCCGTTGTACTTTGCAAGTATAATTAATATTGTTCCTTTAGTCATCACTGAGTTACGCTAGCTATGAAGTATGACAACGGATCGAAGAAATCCGTGAAAGAAAAGGAACGCGAAGGGCTATGGAGAGTTCAAAGTTCTACGGCTCCGCGACTTCTGCCACGAAATCATCCCCGTTCATGTTTACCTAAGCTGTCTTTTGCGCCCGATTTCGGTAGATACTCACGTACTTTCTTCCGAGGATTTTTCCCCCGTTTGAACTGAATAAACAGCCGAGGTCTGTCTGCGCGACTACCGCTGTTTGTATAGTAAATTAATGTCCCCCGTAGGAGTACGTCGTTTGTTTAAGAAAATGCTCGGATTAGAAAATTGGAAAAAATATTTCAGACCGCAGGACGTTAAGATTTTTGTTTAAACAGGACTTATGTTGATCGAGAGCTTGATTATTTTTAATCTCGTGGATTTAAGTTGCCGATCCCTGATTTTGTGAGAACTGCTCTTTGAGAAATGAAATAATAAATTATTTAACACCGAGCATGTATCTCTTAAGCGTGTAAGGATATCTGTGGAGAAAAACTGCATGGAAATAGCGTAGGTTATGAGTCACCGTGACTTCATTTTACTACTCAACTTCTGTCTCTGCTTCTAAACCACCTAGATAAATTTCCTCACTTTTTGTTCTTCAACTTTTTATCGTTTCCCGTCACGCCAATGTATTTCAAGTTTTCGCGATACAAAAACTTGTTTATTGGCCAGGAATAAGTATACCGCCTCAATTCGTTTGCATGCAGAAGAATAATAAATTAACAGAGAAGTCAATTTTTATGAACTGAGTCGTAAATCAAGATTCAGTTTTTTAACTCGTCAGGGCATCGGTATAATAAGCAAGTATTACGTATTTAACGATATATCAATCAGTTCTTCTTTAACCGAGTCAGTCGCGTGGTATTATGCTCGATATATAGTATTTTTCATACGCCTTTTATACTCGTGGTTTGTATTAGAGTCTGATTTAATATGATTAGGCGAAATCTTATTGCAAGGTGGTTTCGTTTTGGTTTCAGATCCGCAAATCCACCGGAAATGATTAGCTCCGATTTCACGGGGAATAAAACTCGACGTATCGTCTAAGTTTTCGACCTAACGACAAAAGGATATTCGTTCCTCGACCTCTTTGCTCGGCTTGAAAGTTCTCGGAGCGGTAAACAAAGAGGCAGAAGAAACACGGTGGACGAGGGACGACGACGAGCAAACAAAACGTGAAGAAAGCAGACGGGGAAGGAGGATCGTGCCAATTACTGCCGCTCTGAAATAAGGTAAGTCAACCGCGTTTTCAAATTTTCAACAACTTCTGATACGGAACAGTCCGTGCGGTAACCACCGGACTCCCGGGGCTTTCTCTTTGTCCGTTGTTTTAAAAGTTTACTTTTCCTCCGCGAATCGGTATTACGCTTCTTACCGTGAACGGGGCTGAAAGGAAGAACGTTTTTGCCCCGTTCCTCGCTGTAAATCCATAGGCGAGATTCTTGCCAGTTCCTTTAATTGAAATTCTACGGATTTCTTTGCGGTTTCTTCTTGCGCCGTTTCCTCTCCACTTCAATTTTCGCACGGTTCATTTCGTATCGCATATATTGTACTGATCATTCCAAGAATTTTAATCGTCCTAAGGAAATTTTAAACAAAGAAATGTAATAATAATATCTTTAAAAATGTCTCGTTTTAAGCTGAGTAAACAAGAGATGTGCATCTGAAGAGGAATTTAATCTGTACTTTCGTTGAGATTCATAGCTTTTTTTATCTGTTGAATAGGATGTTAGTAGTGCGTGTTCGGGTGCAAGTTTAAGGTCTCAAAGTTTAAGGTCGCACGGAGTGCGGAATCGCTTTGAAATAGAAGTACGTGGCTACTACCCGGGGAACGATCTCGACCCCTCGGGTCGACAACTATTGACTCCATTTGTCTCCCCCGTTGTCCCATGTATCTTACTTTATGCTAACGTTTCGCACGTGATGCCCCGACGATACTCGGAGTGGGTCGCGTTTTCCACGAGTACTACACTCGAGCTGCAAGGTTTCCCGGCTTGTACACGTAAGAGAATTAATTTGTTGGAACTGTGAAATATTCATGAAATTCGCGAGCTTCGCCTGACTCTGGTTCGCCGGGTTCAGTTCCAGAACTTTAGCCGATTAACTCGGCATTTGAGTTACAGGTTACTAACATTCTATCGTGTTCACATGATGTATAATTGGTTGGTCAATTATCGTGAGAACGAAATTGTATGAGCATTTGACTTTTAGAATAATCGGACCTTCTTTAGAGATGAGATTTCTATTTAATTCGATATTTCTGATAATTGATAGTAGCAAATATGTGTAAAATACGATCCTTGGAAATGTGTCCCGATCCAATCCAATTTCACGTAAGAATATAATTTCGAGAACGCGAAATCGAAGGAAAAGCAACAAGAAGTTGCACTTGGAACGTCTTCCGTCAGTTCTCGATACGATCGATTCCAATCAAACTGGAAAGCACATTCGAGTACGTACCACGGCAATATCGAAGTTTCGATCGGAGAAACGAAGAAGCGCGCGAGTTTTTCAAAGAAGATCGATTCGAATCAATTTCATAGACGTTCAACCTGGATAGAACGTAGTTCGACGATCCAGTTTTTAGAGCCACCGCTTCTGGAGAATCTTTCCCACTGTATGCACAGTACAGTGTATGTAGAATTTGAAACCTGGAGGTACGCGGGAAACTCTTCCGCAAGCTTTTCAGGAATTTGACAGACCAGTATCCTAGTCGCGGATAACTTAACTTGCACCCGAAATAAAGAACGCTCGACAATCTAAAAATGGTGTTTTCACGAAATAGCTAAGAATAGCTTTCTGTCTCCTCGTTGTAGAAACATAATTACTGATCAGCGTTAAACTTCTAAATGAATCGAAATTTCTCAAAATCATTGAAATTCGAATCAGTTTTTCTCACGCGATGGTTTCAAATCCTATCACTATTAGTCTTAGTTGTAACTTCGAAAGTAGATACGGACACGAAGTAGACACGCGTTTGCGCGTCTATATAGTACTATTAACGTTAAAGATCGCGTTAAATAATCGTCAAGGCGATTCGCTGTGTAAGCGAGTTGCGAGCATGTAAACTGTGCAGGTAAACAGCCGTGTTAATAAGACGGTATAGCTGGAGAAACAAAAAGCAGAATCCGTGAAGCTTCTGGTTCGTTGTCGTAATTGAGGATAAGACGTTGAAACGCCACGTCCACTCGGTCAATTGCGTCGCCGGTGATAAATCATCTTCCGGTCGGCGGCTGATGCCACGCGACTGTTAATTCAACCTAATCTTCTGGATAGTTTAAACTGGCGGACAGATCCAAGTGATATTAATCGAACGGATCCGATGAAAAATTGCTCCACTGTCGTCGACACGAACTCAACCACGAGGATCGTCAACGCTTATGCAAATTCGAAATTGTAGCTGACAACGTCATACGTATGCTTCGCGATATACAGTTTTCTACTTCGTGCACATATTTCTATGTTTTCTGTTAGTTTTCGTTATCAAATACGTAAGTCTACACTTAATTACAATGCTGCAAATAATAAGATAACGGGAAGGCGACCAGTGGTTGAAACTTTTCAACATTGTAGCATCATTTATTAATTGCTAATAAAGTGCCGAGAACGGAGATACCGCAATGAAAGAGGATATTATTCCTTGCTTTTGTCACTGATAATGTTGTCTCATTTGTATCGTCATTAATACGGTTCGTTCGAGGCTGGGAACAAAACCACGGACACTACGAACGTATGCAATTCACGTATAAATAAATACGCGAAACTAATTAAGCTTCGACATGAGGAATAATACAAATAATTTTTAACTCGTTGATTTTACGTATGAAATTTATTTAAACATAAATATTATTCTTCTCTATTTAAATGCAATATGCCTTCAACACAAAGAGCACTAAATGCGGATGAGAAATAGTTGGTTCAATTCTTGTACTCTCATCGCTATCGCGTGATCACGGAGACAGATTGCCGATAAAAATCGCGGATACGCGCGCCATATAAATCGATTCGTTATGCAGGCAACGGGTATCGATTATTATCGTCCGTTCGTGCCAATTTATTGCCGCCCGTTCCTCTTTATTGGCGCCACGTTCCTACACACTGGCGGACGCTCACGACTTGCTGTGCGTGGCGCGGCGCCTTGTTTCTACGCTGCATTTAATATTTCGCAGGTATGCGCGCTGATTGCGAAGAAATGTCCGCAACGAGGAAACGTGATAGAGAGAAAGGAACGTGCCGCGATTTGCCCGTGGGAATTTCGTTATAGAAACAAGACGTCGCGTCGCTGTGCCGCGCCGCGTCGAGTTTTTTTCGCGGTTCGCGGAAGCGCGGTAATTGAAAATTTCCGCGATTCATGCCATCTTTGCTATTCCTCCTTTTTTTCTCGCATTTAATGGTCAACGTCTTCTCGACTGTTATTCAAGTCAGAGGAATACATTAATGATGAAAATTCGCATTCTGCATTATCAGAATAATAAAATGTAATATTTTAATGTTTAAATGGATCATATTTTAACAGGGAAGATGAAAAATTAAAATTATGTGGAATCTCTTTGTTTATTAATTTTTACAGAATAACAGATAATTAACGTGTAAAATATTAAAGGTATTTTTATTCTGGGAAATGTTGAAACAATCCTATTTATAATGTTGTATAATTTTATATCTCATAAATCTTATTATTTTTATTTTATATGATGCGAATTTCCAATCACAAGATATGACGCATTGATGCATTATTTCTATCTCTAGTTCGTTTGAAATTTCGAAACCAACGAGAAAAATTGAGACTGTACTTTTCTCCTTTACAAGAGCTTTTCTTGTGGCTGAAACGAGTCTGACGTTTCCCGTAGCTTTGACTCAGGCTGAAGGTAAATTAAGCTTACTGTGGAAATTACTGTGCAATTTTCCCGCCTGTCTACCTCCGACAAGTACCTTTTTATTTTCTGTCTATCAGCATTCAAGGAAAGTTACCAGAATTAATTTTCCTTGGAATGCTCGTGAGATCATGCCTGAGTACTGTTTCCTCAAATTTCCGTGTTTAAAATTCTATTTTAATAAAGAATCGGTAAATAATTAATGTTGCCACTTCCGTCTGAGTTCGTATAATATCTGCCCGCGTTTAACTTTTATTGTGCCGTGATATTATACCGCCGGGTCAAAGGAAAATTGTCTTGTAATGCGGCAAAACGTCTTTAAACAATACGGCTGCGTTTAGCACACGTTGGCGTTAAGTCTCGACCGACACTACCGCATCAATCATTCAGGACTCTTCCTGCCTACGTGCTTCTTATCCGTCTGGTTAACTGCTCGCAAATTATTTATACGGTTAGCGAAAAATGGTTCCGAGCGAGGCTCTTGTTTCGTGCAACTCTGATTTTAGCTACCTATTAATCAAAAATAATTTTGTACAATCAGTCGAGCTCCGGCGCCAAAATATCTAAAATAATCTGCATTCACTTTGCAAGTAAGATAAGTATAAGACCAAGTCGAATGATTATTTTAAACGTAAAAAAAAATGTATCCTGATTCATCGGTTTTATACATTTCTATCATAAGGAATAACTTTGTATCAGTTCCTGTGGTTGTTCGTAAATAATTGAACTCCACGTGTGCTATTAGTCTTTGCTCATCGTCTTGATGCAATTAGCAGCCAGTGAAACGCAATTTCATTTTCTCCGGCTTAAACGTATTAGGTAATGGCATTTAGTAAACAATAAGTTGTTTCGCATTAACGACGCGATTTGCAGACGCGTAAAAGGCCGACGCCGAAGTACCATGTCTGATAGAATATTAAACGACGTCCCCGGCCATCGGCCGCATACGGTCCCTCGTCATTTCAAAGCTCTCACTCATGCTCATACACGTCGCAGTTCTCGAATAATGTCGCGTCTTTTTTCACTTCCTTCTAACATCTCCTGAATCGTGCGCTCCAGTGACACTTGAAATTGCAATTTCTCGTCACGTGCAAATTCGTTTAGCCTTTAATAGGCATGATTATTTGGACACGTTACAGAAAAGACTGACTCGTTTCATTTTGCTCATCACCGTGCGTTCTACTGCAAAACGTTAATGACAAGACTCATTACTGCAAATAATTGGACGCCAATTAGTATCATACGTTTTTCATTAGAACAAAGCCGTCAAAATTCGAAATTGGAGAATCGTACAGTTCGACACTGTATTACGTTACAATTCACATTCTGGTTCGGTTACACAAAACTACCCTCTGAAA